CAGGAACTATTTTAATGGGGTGGAGGATGGAGATTTTGAGTGAGAGGGTTTGAGTCTGTGGTGCCTGTGAGTCACCCTGAGCTGATGCCCGGTGGCACAAGGGAGAAACCTGGCCAGAGTTAGGGATTGGGGGTCGTTAGCCTGTGAAGGGCAAGTGAAGCTACAGGCGGGGAGGCTGCCTCGGCAGGAAGTGGTATGAGAAGGACAGGGCCAGGGAAAGAGCCCTGGGAACACCAGAGACCCTCAGAGAAGGATGCTGAGAAGGCCACGCTGCAGAGACAGGCAACAAACACGATGGCTGTGGTGTTACGGGAGCCAGGGGCAGACAGAAAGTTTATCAAGAAGCAGGGGACGTCCAGCTGCTGCTGAGAGTTGTGAGGAGTGAGAGTCCCGAGATTTAACAACCAGGGCTAGACGGTGCCCTGTGGGAATTAGAAAAAGATGCCCCCTCCTCAAGGTAATTTACTTCTATTGGCAAACTACTGTAACACACTGATTTTATTAGAACCAAACACTTTACTGCCATCTGTGGGAAAATTGTTACAATAAATAAACCTATGATGTCTTAGATGTGGTGCCTGGACACAGCAGCCGTGGTTATTGGTGGCTGCAGTGAAAACAGGTTTCAGAGGAGCAGAATGAAATTCACCTGCAAGGATGCTTTGAGCTGTGGGCAACACATGACCCAAAAAGAGATGGCTTAAACAGTAAGGCATTTATGATCCTACACCACAGGATGCCTCGTCTGAAGGGAGGGCGGTTCCAGGGTTGGTTCGGGGTTGGTTCTTTCTCAATAGTTCCATTGAGAACCAGGTCCTTCCCACCTGCTCTGCTACCCTCTGTGTTGGCTGTCTTCTTCAGGCTTGTCCTCTCATGATCACAAGAAGGCCACCATGGCTCCAGCCATTACATTTTTCCACAAGATCAAGAGGCAGAAGACGAGAATGTGTCTCCTTGTGAGTCCTTTTCATGGGGAGAAAACCTTCCTAGAAATGCCCCAGCCCTTCCCATAACTACCCCCACCAGCTCTCATTGGCCATACCTGAGTCACGTCTCTTCGCAAACCTGTCACTGGAGAGGTGACAGCTTCACTGTGATTTCTTACACAATGTGTGTGGAGGAATGAGGGCGAGGTGAAGACATGCAGACAGCAAGTGTAGATGGTGCTTTCTAGAATTTTGCAAAGGGAGGAGAGAGACCCCACTGCAGGGAGACATGGGGAAAGAAGGGTATTTTAACTGTCCTAAACCAGTTGCAACTTACTCATCCAAAATTGACTTGAAGAACAGCACCACCATCTGACCTCTCATCCAGCCAGACAACTGGGAGTCCTTTGGAATTTATCGCCCATTCCACCACTCTGCAGAGCTCTAACCAGTCAATCCTCAAGTCCTATCAAGTCTAACTGTTCGATAAGTCTGGAATCCACTGTCTCTATGCTAGCGCATCTCAACAGCAGCACCATCAACATTTTGGACTGGATAATTCTTTGCTGGAGGGCTGAGGGAGGGCTGGAGGGGGCTGTCCTGTGCTTTGTAGGATGTTTAGCAGCTACTGGATGCCAGTAACACCCTCCACCTCCCCCTACCAGTTTTGACAATCAAAAATGTCTCTAGACATTGCCAAATGTACCCTGGAGGGCAAAATTGCCCCTGGTTGAGAACCACTGCCCTGTACCCAGGTGGAAATTCCTATAGATCTTTGAACCAGTTTCTGGTTATGGCCCATTTTTGCACACTCTGTTCTCTCGATTGTCTTTTCTATCCTCTGCTCCTGACCCTGTAACTCCTGCTCATCCACTGGCATATTGCATCACCTGTCTACTTGTCTGCCTCTCTCACTCAACTGTGGGCTCTGCGAGGGCTCACATTTTAACTTATTCAACATTGTACCTCTAGAGCCTAGAGCCTGGCACTCTGTCTGGTACACAGATGGCACTCTTCTCTCCATATATATGTGTATATATACACATACG